GATGTGGGGGGGAGGAAGGGGGGGGGGGGGGGGGGGGGGGTGATCCTGGATCTGTGGCTTAACTTAAGATGGAAATAGGAAAACATAAACTGGAAACAAAGTCAAGAAGCAATTCAAAACAGAGAACAAACCATGTAACCGAGACGGCATACAGATAAACATGTCGATCGGTTTGTTGATAAGGCACAACAAAACAAGTAACTCTACCATGCTGAATAGGGCATGACCCGGGCATGCAACTCTAAATCTGTATGAGTGTCTGCATGAATGGACTTATGGGTGTGTGTAAGCTAATACCATCCTGAGGTCGGCAGGTGGGAGCAATGGGGCATGAAAACACTGACTGACAGTTGTAAGTGCTCTCACTTGTCTCTAGATGGCCTGAGGACACAGGGGTGCACCCATGAATGCTATGCAACAACTCTTCTCAAGAGCATCACTGTCTGCTAAAAATGTAGAGAGCAGCTCTATTGTTCCTTTTCTGGCCTGGGAAGGCTTTTGATATGTGGTCATCACCACACCAGCATTGGTGCAGTTCCTTCCTTGGTCCAGGGGAAACACAGAGGCTGCAGAGCTTCAGGGCAGGCAAACAAAGCCAGGCTGTCTGTGTGCTAGTCATTTGCACCTAACTGCTGTAGACTCTCTAAACATAGTAACATTACCACTGCAGTGAAGGTGCCTCAGCTGCATTGAAAGATTCTTGAAGTGTGACCATACAAGGCCAGCCTAGTATGAAAAATGGCTAAAAGTATGTTTAAATTGCACTTTCCACCCAAAACCTGTTGAGTTTTGAGAAAGCACTCTTTCAGATTTTAGTTTTCATCACCGTCCAGAAAAAAGCTTCAGCATGAAGTGATCACAGAGCACAAGAATGGTGCTGTCAGCCATTCAAAACACAGCTGAATATTGGTTTTAAGGGATCAGTAAAAACATACCATACGGAAAAGGAAAGAATTAAAGCATGCAGGAGGCTCAGAGTTGGCACAGCATGGTTTTGAACTGACTGACAAGGAACCCGATATGCGCTACCAAAACCCCTAATTCAGTCTCACATAGTAGCATTTGCTATTTCCCCAGTAATGCCAGAGCTTGCACAAAAATTTGATTAGTCTACAGTTTCAGCCACAAAGTGTGTTGTCACTTGGTTCATTCACTCATGATTTCAGCAGCAGTCCTCAGCCTGCCTCATCCTCAGTTGAGTAAACTGTGACTGCCTGTGTATACAGCATTATGCCTGGCAGACACCACCTCAGTGACGTAATGATTGGATAGTGTTTAAACAAGAAAATCAAACAAGATTTTCTGAGATGTCTTTCTGTGGCCCACTGCAGAGCTCGTTTATTTAGCTCATTCATGTAGATCGAAAGCCCCGGAGCACTGCCATAGAAATCAATACCCACGCAACTGCAGTCTCTCCTGCTCTCTGCCTTCCTTTAGTTAAAGCTTTAGGAGCACATTGAGTGGAGAAGGATCCTTGAGATTGTTAGGAAATAGGCAGAAGGATTGCTGGATAACTACACATCTAACTCTAATGAGTTTTTTTTCTATTTCTGCTGCACAGTAAACCCACCTTCTTCAGTATGCACACACAGGTGAGCTCCATAAGTAAAGTACCTACAGTATGTTCCTGCAACATGTTAAATGTACTGTAGACCCGCAATGTGAATATTTTGGGTGGAAGGAAAAAGACTAGACTGCCTAAGTGCAGTAGGTCACATTCACTTTGAAGTCCACACACTCAAAAACTGTCCAAACACTTTCTGCCAAATTTAACCATCCAACCAAGTTCTAATATAATAATGTACAGTACTGTACCATACTATACATATATGTACCACCAGTGGTGAAAGATAAAATAGGCTAGTGATGCATTTATGTGGGCTGCAAAGCCACCTGCATCAAATGGCAAGTAAATGCATTTATCTCAAATGAATGATCTTATTTTCACTATAAGAGCTCCCCATGAGAACAGTTTGCTGCATCTCAAAACGTACTGTATTATCAGAAAGGTTCTGTCACATTTGTTGATATTTTTGAAGCTATGTACAGTAGATTTTATGAAATAAATGAAAGGAAACCCTGCCCTGATAGATGTGTCTGTGTTCTGCGGATCCCTTCATATCACCTCACCTACAAGCATTATAATGCAACAAATGGGAATGGCAACTGGCTGAATATCATGAACTAAACACAGAGTCCACAGTGGTGTGCTTCATACAAAGTTAGCACGTCATTCCCAGTATCATTGCTGTGATTATTAAGCATCTTACCTGCGCTTTCAAATTGTTTCCTCACACGCGCAACACGTGCCTACGACAACAGCGTCACGCTCGTCAAAACTAACGCACTAATACGCAACCTCGTCCCGAACAAAAGAAAAGTAGACGGATAAGGTGAAAGCTTATCCCAGATATTTTCCAGTCCCCTTGATTGTAGTTAAACCCACACTTTAGCGGTCTTGAACTCTTGCTGCACCCTCTGTGCGTGTGTGCGCGCTTGCATGCGTGCGGGCGTGTGTCTGTTGGATGATTGGTTATTCTGTAGAAGTTCGCTTGGCAGAGACAGAAGGTAAACTCTCAATTGCATTGCTTCTGCTGGAGGGGAGGGGACCTCCTCAGCATCTGTATAGCTGCAAGAACTGAACTGGAAACCTGAAATACCCTCAGACTTTACCCAGTCCTCGATATTATATGACTGGCCATTAATAAAGTTGTTATTTGAGCTTATTAAGCCTTTATAAAGGTTACCTGACTAGAAAGTGATACAAAAATATGATAAACATGTGGCAGATATCATAAGATGCAATGAGCCCACTAGATTGATTTGAGTACCAGACAAAGAGTAAGAATATTTTAATACTGGGTTCAAAGATTTTTTTTTAAAAATGCATGGTGTATTTTCTAGTAAGTGAGAGTCACCTATGATCATGAAAACTGTAGTAGAAATCATGGATTGGTCATAGCCAAGAGCACACAGAAGTCACATTCATTTGAGATGAGAGCTGCAATGTTGGACCCAGAAAAGAGAGTTGCAAAGCTTCCTGAAGTGAGATGGGATGTGCTTGTTATTGCACTTGGATGGTAACTGGCTCTGGGTGTGTATCAGATGTGACTGGGTCCCAGTTACTGAAAAGGATTAGGTTATAGGTTCACAGGTTGAAATGGTGTCCTTCCTCCCTGTTGGGAGGTTTGGTGTCAGGGACTGCACTTCCTCAGGACAACTCCCTCACGCACACACCCAGAGTAAAACCTTTAGTGAGGAGCAGCAGAGATGACATAAATTGTGTAGAAGAGTCATTCTGCCCAATGTTCATTCCATCCCTGCTGATTCCTCTGAGAGTTGTGCTTCATATTGTGGTTGTGGTTGATAACCACAGTGTACCTATGCTGTTATCACCAGGACATTGTCTACATTTTGTTGCAACTTAATTGTGATATTGTTTTTTGGTGTAAAGTGTCAGGACAGCTGCCAGGCAATTTAAAAATCACGTGCAAAGAGCAGCGACAGCCCAGCAAGTGTTCCATTTGTCGATATAGGGGTAGGGGCAGTTCCTGAACGTCTGAGTGAAGGACAAAATTTTCAATCATTTATTGTTCAGCTTCCTTACTTTATCCTCAGCAAATACCTGCTGAGCTTTGACTTGCAAAGTGAGAGAATTATCCTGCAAAGTAAAAATTGTAGTTCATCTATGGCTACAATTCTAATTATGGTTTGGTTTTGTGTTTGGCATTAAAGAAATATGATTTTGATTTATGAGGGAATTTTCACTGTAAACATAGATCAAATGTGTGTCTATATGTGTTGGTATTCACAACATAGACACACACACAAACACAGTGATAGCTTGTTTTGTGTTTTTCTCTATGTGTATGTCCCTTGATATAATGAGTGTGGGTGAAGTGAGAGGATTTGGCAACACCAGACACGATAAAGCAAACTAAACAATAGCCCCCTAATCCCCATTCATCTCAAAGGACTTAACTCTTAACAAATCAGAAATACTTTCCCTTGATCATTATGTGTTTGGCATATGTAAGTGGATAATGTATCACTTCATAGTGCTCGGGCCATATCCCCCATCTCATCTTTTTAAAGTTTTACTAAAGCACTTGGAAGTTTGCTGCAACGTCAAAGTTGAAATTTTAGTACTATAAGTAGAGCAAAATTCTCTGAAATGAGGTGAGTGTGTATAAATTCTTATCAGCTTGCTCATTAGCGTTCCACTAGTAGGTTTGCAGTCCACAGTCGTTTTAGAGGAGGAAACAAATGTTCTTACATGCTTGTGGTGTTCATGTAGGAGAGGGTCTTGTGCACGATCACACACGGGTGCAGAATGCAGTGCAATCTGTGAGTAATTTCTAACAGTTATCATGAAGATCTCCAGCGAAAGGGCAGTCAGCTTGAAACACATATAAACACACAGCCCTCTGAGTTTTAATGCAAGTAGACTTGACTTCATTAACTACTGTAATCTTGATTACATGAGTTGTCATTAGGCTTTTAGTAATGCCATTATGGGGAAACTGAGCCACCTTGGTGGAGGCTTGTGGTCTCTTAGTGCTGTCTAGTTTCTCACTATAACCTCCCATAAAACCTCAGTGGTTTTGCAACTTTTAAATAGGCATTGCTTCATTTCAGGCACAAAAATTTGTTTTCTCCACAGCGTTCTTTCTTCATTTAACACACACACACACACACACAAACAACACCCAAACAACACACCAGACTGCATTTCCTTGACTAAATGGAAGGCAAACAATCACAGCTTCAACCACAGTCACACAATTTAAACAAGAAAACCACAGCCCAGTTAAATATATTTTCCAAATATGAACACATTTCAACACACATTTCAAAATTTACCAAGCATACAGCCAAAGGTAAACACTAAACATGTAGGCCCAGTGGACTGCAACAAAAACATGGAGGTATATAGTGAGCATACACACTGAGAAAGGATTCTCTCGCTCTGTATTTTGTTTATTTATGCTCTGAGTTTGTTAGTGATTGGCAAGTGTGCAAGCAGAG